CACCTCTTTATAGCTATAGAGTTCATGTGCACCTGAATGTCTTTAGGGAACAAAACATATTGTAGACATAAAGCTGTACACGGGAGGTTTGAAAACGCATGTGAATATTTGTGGCACAAGCACTAAATGTCACATTAGCAAACCTGCGTCAATAGTGTCTAGAGTGTACTGTCAGTGTAGCGATTTTAGAAGCACAGCTCACAGAGGAGCCATCTATGCTAGTAAATCTTTCATCCTCATGTGAAATTACTGATCGTACAGATTTTTTGGCCCACAAATACAAAAAAAACTAAAAATGTGACATTAACCCTCCTGGACAATAGCGTAGGGCCGCCTACTCACCTATCAATCATTTCATTAAAACAAAACTATTTTTTTGACACGTCAGTTATGTGTGACTGGCTGTGAAGTGTTTCATCGCCAGGTAATGTTTTATAACCAAGAACATCAATCTTTTGGTTATCTAGATCAGTTGGTCTTTTTCATTAGAAATTAGCCTACTGATTGCCACCATTGATGGACAATTTTTTTTTATAATATTAAAAATATCTGTATGACAGTATATTCTGCAGTTCTTCCCTGCTGTACCGAATATTCGTCAACGATATTGCATTATACATTTAATTATAGTCATCGTCACATGACCAGCATTTTCGTCTCGTCTCGTCTCGTTTTCGTCACGTAATAAAGGTTCGTTGACGACGATATTTAGTCATAATTTTCGTTGACGAAAGCAACACTACTCAAGGGCAACGCGTCATGCATTCTCCGGACAGTTCCTCTTCCAAACTGGAACACATGTGCAAACAGACACAGAGGCCCAGACATGAAATGGGTTACAGCTCATCTGCTTTGCTATGTAGCCATGTTAACTAACATTAAAAGCCCAATCGGTAGAGTTCAACCGAATCAAATGCTTCAAAATGTTGAGTTCACTGAGCTCATATGGATCGTCTTGACTCCGGGTGAGAGGCTTCACAAACAATGAGCTTAAAAATCGCTTGAACGCGGTCAACATACCGAGATAAGCTCCATTAACTTGCCCTACAGAGAAACACTGACAAGGTTAATGAAGATTTCTGGCAAAGGTGCAAAGCATTACATTCATTCTGATTAAGGGGACATGGAATGGAAATGGTGGACGACAGGCAGTATGAAGAACAAGCTGCGGAGGGCATCTTGCAGTCAGACTACAAATGGAGGCATAGATCAAACATGACAGATATATAAGTTTTCCCCTCAGAGTTGGCTAAGTTTACATATCACTCCATATCATGCACAGCTACGTTTTTGTTCTTGCAATGTGCGTGCCGCTCGCGTGGGTCAGAGACGGACAGATTTGGTCCACCACCTTAGTTCTTTTTTTACAGTCTATTCTGAATTTTTCATCTCCTAGTTAAGTTGGGGCAACAGCTGGAGCGCAGGAGGCTTGGATTCCACTCCCAGAGTCATGGAGGCGTATTAATCTTGCACGTCACCAGGCAAACTGATTAAACTCAAGCTGTATAATTGTGACCAAAGCTTAAAATTGAAATTGGATTTGAGCTATGGCTCATGAAATCGTTTTGTATGACGTTAATTCAAGTGATTCTACAAGGTCCATCAATTCTAGAACTTCAACTGCGGAAACGTATAGAGCAAAATCTCATTGTAGAAGTCTAATTCAGGGGTTTTCAATCTTTTTAATAGCAAGGACCACCAAACAAATAATGAGATAACCAATACTTCTTCACAAAACTACACGCAGATTTTTTTTAATGTGATTTTCAACAATGAGACATTGAGAAAGTAAAATGAAACAAAATCTAAAAACAAATTATTTTTATTCAGCAAGGGTGCCTTAAATTGATCAAAAGTGACAGTAAAGACTGTTTAAACTGTTCTCAGCATTGATAATATTTCTAGAGCACCAAATTAGCATATTAGAATGATTGTGAAAGATCATGTGACACTGTGAAGACTGGAGAAAAATCAATTGTCGGGTGCCACAAATTTGTTAAAATTTCCAAAGGGTGCCGCGACTAAAGAAAGGTTGGGAAACACTGATCTAGATATCACATTAATATCATTAGTAAAGAGAAAAAAAAGAAAAGTGTTTAACCAGTATTATCATCATGAATGGAAAAAAAGCTACATAAAAATATTTTTGTTAACTGAAATAAAAATAAAAATAAAAACTAACATAACTAGGAAAAACTAAAACTAAAATAAAATACACAAACGAATAAATAAATAAATATGGCTACACATTAATTTTAGTTTTAGATAAAACTAACTGAAAAAAATGATAAACTGAAAAATATATATCATCATTCATCATCATTTGGTTTCTCACGTGTAAACCACTGTTATTTTAATATAATTGAGATACCATTATAGTTTTTATTAATATTTTGAATCATTTTTATTTGTATATTTTCTGTTATCATTTTAATTTAAAGTTTAAGTAATTTGGTTGTGTGTCTTTGTCATATTTAGTAGTTTTTGTTTTTTAATACAGTTTTTATTAATTTTTATTTCAGTTTTTATTTTAGTTATTTTAGTAAATTAAAATCAGAAATTTTGCCTCAGCAACTAGCTGAAATAAAAGAAGTTTTTTATATTTTATTTCATTTAACATTTATTTTATTACAAGTAACAAAATTGTTTTTTTGTTTGTTTTTTTTAATTGGTTTTAATTTTATTATGCGTTTTAGTTGGAATCGCAGGCAGACTTTCAGTACCTCACCAAGCCCAAAGTGCAACCAATGTCTCCTTATCAAATTGTACAATCATGAGTGTGCCAAAATATGCATATTAGCATTAAAAAGAGATTTAGATCTGGTCATCCAGCAGTGCTGAAACTGCCAGGTTTTCTGGCTTTCCAGAGAACAAAACACAATGCTACACCATCATTCCCACTCCAAATTCCCCAATAATCTTCAACACACTCTTGGTTTAATTCCCAGCGCTGCCCTTCCTGCTGAGCTCCTTGCCAAATAAGATAGCTCGCTAGCTTGGCAACTGAGTGCTAACTGTAATATTTCTTTCATCATTCTGTTTATGTGGCGTCAAATCTGGCCTCGGAGTGCTGCTCTGCTTCAGGACATTCAACTGACTCACTGAGCTCTGGTCACTTCAGTACTTCTGCCCTCTAGGGGAAGATGAACCATTTAAACAACACAAATTCACACATATACATGTTAAATACTCGAGTTCTTCTGTTTTGAAAGCTTGGAAACTATTTTTGAAACACACTTTGACCCTAAAGATCTCCAAACCAACATTCTGAATGATCCATATGAAAGATATTAAACAACAGCAGCACATGAGTGTTTGTTCTGCTGCCAACAAGAACAAAATTTAAAACATAATGACTATTAAAAGCCAAATTCACAACATTCCAGATGTTGTTGTGACAGTTGAAGGAAGTCTCAGCAGCGATGAATTAAATACACTCGTTATTGAACATGAATGGAAAAGATGAAGTGAAAATGTCTTTTGTTTTTCTTTTCTGTTTTCTTTATGGTAAAGTATGTTTAACTTGTCCTCCTTGAGCTGTAGTCCAAGCCAAAGGAAGTACACTAGCCAGGCCTGCCTACCTAAAAACAGTTTGAAGACCTTACTGGCAAACATGCTCTATAATGCAACAAGCACAGACAAAAACCGAATCTCTTACGCACACAGAAACTACCTTTCATCATTATCTTCCCAACAACATTCAAATAAGTCACGTAAGGTTGTGATTTAAGAATAATTTTACAGTTGGTTTGTCTGTGGGTTGTTGGAACAACTAGTCTAAGGCCCAGATCAGACAGAATGTGTTTTTTGCAGTGAGAGGTGCCTTTTGTAAATTGGTTTCTATTGGCTGTTAGTGTTTTGAAAAGCGCCCAACGTCATTCACGTTTTGTTTTCCATTGTCCAATCGAATGAATGGAGAGGCGGGCTTTCCGTTGTGGTGACAGAAGTTTACAGCGGCTTGGAACATCTGAGGCGAGACTGCAATGATGGAGAAGCTTGTGGTGGCTGTCGCGGGTTACCCGGAGCTGTAATTTTTTTAGGTTTCTGCTAATATGACAGTTTACTTAACAGCAAACCAAAGATTCTAGAGCGCTCGTGCTATAATCCTTGATTAGACTGACAGAACAGCAAATTCGGTGGTTGCCTAGCAACATAAAAAAATGCAAACAAAATCTAAAAACAAATTATTTTTATTCAGCAAGGGTGCCTTAAATTGATCAAAAGTGACAGTAAAGACTGTTTAAACTGTTCTCAGCATTGATAATATTTCTAGAGCACCAAATTAGCATATTAGAATGATTGTGAAAGATCATGTGACACTGTGAAGACTGGAGAAAAATCAACTTTCATATAAATCAAGTAAATCAAATTTCAAAATATGATAGATATATAGATAGATAGTATTAGAAAATATAAAAAAATTGCAATAATACATACATTTAGTATTTTATTTTTTCTAGAGCACCAAATTAGCATATTAGAATGATTGTGAAAGATCATGTGACACTGTGAAGACTGGAGAAAAATCAACTTTCATATAAATCAAGTAAATCAAATTTCAAAATATGATAGATAGATAGATAGATAGATAGATAGATCGATAGATAGATAGTATTAGAAAATATAAAAAAATTGCAATAATACATACATTTAGTATTTTATTTGTTCATTCATTTATTCTTTTTTTCACTTAATTTTCAGAGACTTTGTAGCAGCTACCTGATGCCTCCTGGAAGTTCCCTGACCCCACTTTGAAGACCCCAGTCTAATCATTGGTCTGTGTTAACAACAACGCCAGGAAGTGTTTTTGTTGCAAGTTACAGCATGAAAAAAAAAAATCCATATTTTGCAAAAATATTGTAGTATTTTTCTTAAAAACGCCATATATTAAGTCAGTGACTCGACTGGGCAACATCCAACCCTTCTGTTTCATACACACACTGTATAATCAGTCTGTAAGTCATCTTGATTTGTACAGAGGGACATGTTGAGATTCTTACCTGGGCGATGTTTTTGTTGAGCAAATAGACACCATATTCAAACTGGAAACGCTCTCCTCTGGGGTAAAGAGGGAACCTGCAAACAAGAGCAGCAAAGAGGCATCATGAGAAAGAGTCTCAGCACTCACCTCTGAACTATTACACATGGTTCCCATATTAAACACAAAGTGAAGAACATTTTTTATGAGGTCGTAATCAGTTCATAACTTTGCACAGGACAACCTCACACCAAACAACGAAAAACAGCAGGTCATCTGGATAAACAGCTAACCAACAGACCGAACCCTGAAACTAATAACTGGATTTACAAACCAACGCTCAGAGTCAGGAATCTTTCAGTGTTTAAGGGTATTTATGTCCTGTGAAGTTAACCGAGCAATGATGATGCCTCAAACTCTTCAAAAACTCTGCGAGGCAACAGGCTCTTTCTGACGTAAGATATTTCAGCAGATGTTAAGAGACCGCCTGGTTTTCTGCTAATATGACAGTTTACTTAACAGCAAACCAAAGATTCTAGAGCGCTCGTGCTATAATCCTTGATTAGACTGACAGAACAGCAAATTCGGTGGTTGCCTAGCAACATAAAAAAATGCAGCACACTGCTCTTTTCTAAATTAAAAAAAGTCAACCAAATAAAGGCATTGCGGTGCGCCTTGTGTTTTCAAACCTGAAAAACGCATTCTGTCTGATCGAGGCCTAAGGAGGCACTTTATAATAACGCTGGTTTAGGGTCACAAGACACCAATGAGATGCATTTCTTAGAAACCATTCACACAGAACACATTTTTGCAAAAGTGTTTGAGCTTGCACTTTGTGTCTTTTGCAGTGTCTCACGTTATAAAAATGCAGCAATGTTTAACCCTATAAAGCCTACTTTATCATATTTGATTCACAAATGTATACGGCCTCTTAATTCTAAACATGATCAAAACTTTGCTTAAGAACCTTCTGTCATCTAATTGACAGTTTATACCTATTTAGCAAGGCAACTCAAATGCATGTCTGAAACACAATCTATTATCCATTAAAATCATTCTGGCTTGTTTCTTTCGGTCAGTTCTCATTTAAACCACAAGCGTAATCATGATTCACAAATGGCCGAACGGCACACAATATCAATGTCTACATCAGAGCAACGTATAATGAACTCACCAGTCAAGATTCACAACAGATGAACACGCTGGACTATTATTGTAATTCTGAAGGGTGCACATTGAAGCATTTACTGAGAACTTAAGACTTCAGAAAAAGCTTTAATTATTAAAAATAGTGCTAATACAATAGGTTACACGTTCCAGAGATCACTGGAAGTCTGTGATGTGGACAACACTCATCTTTAGCTGATCCATTCATCATATTGAAGCAATACATCTATATAAATACTGATCATTAGCCAATAAAATATAAACAAGAACTACATTTGCAACTTCTAAGTAAGAAATATAAGTGCTTGCAATGCAGCAAAAGAGTAGTATTAAAGTTTAATAGTGTTAAACTTATCTTAGGTTTAGGCTGGAGTTTAAAGTCATTAAAATAAAATAAAAAATGAGAATAAAATAAAATAACAAAAAATAAGATTAATAAATCAATTAAATTAATAGAAACAAGAACTAGATTCACAATGAAATATAAGTAATTGCAAGTGACCAGAATAATAGCATTAAAGTTGAATAGTGTTAAAGTACGCTCAGGTTTTAGGCTTTGGATGATCAAAACTTTGCTTAAGAACCTTCTGTCATCTAATTGACAGTTTATACCTATTTAGCAAGGCAAAAGCCTTTTAGTTTTAATTCTAGAAACATCCTCCTTCAGGTCATGTACGGGTTTCTTTTTGCTGTGAAATATTTACTGTTTTTAAAAAAAGTAAACGTAGAAATAACTTTTATATTGTTAATAATATTTCAAGACTTAGTGGACTGAAGCAACTTAGGCTCACTTAACCATCCATACATAATTTTTTTAGAAAAGAAAATGGTATAATTAGAGTATCAATGCAAGTTTATGATACATCAGGCTTTTGAGGAACATTTATTTGTACATCTCTCAATCCTCACTGCATTTCATTACGTCTTGCACACCGCAATGAAAATTACAGAGCTGTGATCATAAAACTAAGCATTAAAATATCATCTTACTAAGACATATTATTGGTAAATATAGAGTTGCAACTGATTCCATTTTTAAAAAATGTAAAAAAAATTTTTTTTACCTTGCATTTTTTTCCACATCTGTTTTTAAACAAACATGTGCAGTGTGAATGGACCCTTAATATGCGTTCGTACAGAATGCATTCTTGCGTTAAAAATTGCCCTCAAAATATGTTTATTTCATTGAACCAGCATCTCTAAAATGCTTAAATAGTACAAAGGATATTCAACAAATCCAAAAATATTGTATGTTTTTGTTGATGGTGGTTAATTTGTTATAAAAGCTCAGCTTTGATGGCTACAGCAGCAGTGCTTTGAAGGGTACAGATTTAAAGAGCTAACATTTCTGAAAAAAGTTTAAACGTGCTGACAGTCTCACAGCACGTTGTCAGCACACTAAAAACAAAAAAATGAATTCCTTTTAAAGCAAAATGAAAATAAAAGCAACTAGTTGTCCACTCTGACTCATCCCTTGTTGCAATAATGCAAACGACAAAGAAAAACAAATAAAAATAGAAAACAAAAAAAAAAACCTTTAAAAGTTTTTATCACTATGTTCTCGACTCATCTATCACAGACAAAAGTGCCCGGGCGAAACCCCGCTGGCCACCTGACATTCTTCTCCCTTCCTCCCATGACACGAGGACTAAATAAAAACAACATCCAGTCAGCGCACTGCTTCAAAGCAACTAAAACACCCCTCCTTTCCCTCTCCCTCCTGCCTGCTTGGATCGTTTTCAAACACACACAATTTAATAAAAGATAGACGTTTAATCTCCTCCATTCCAGAACAAGAGCACTGCTGTGAAACCCGATCTCTGCTTAGTCTCAGCAGCCGGACACACTGAGCCACCGCGGCTACGGCTAACGAACGGAACGCATTAAAGTCGAGAGGGACAGACGGAAACAAAAAACAGCGATGGAGGCACAGAACACAAAAACAAAATAACAAACAGCATTTCGCTTGCTATGTAGTTATTCGCAAATCATATTAGGTAGGAAAAGCCAAGGTCAATTTTATAATATTGAAGGGTCGGCGAAGCAGCTTAGACCCATTTGGATTAGCGAAGAGCGAATCGGGAAAGACGTGGAGCGGAATACATACAGCGGGCCTAGCCGCTGGGATAGAAAGTTGAAGCTAAAAGAGGAGGAAATTACAAGTAGCATGACTCAAGGGTAGTGTTGTTTTTGGTGGCCTGTTTTAATTTTAGTTTTAGTCTAGTCTTTGTGTGAAACTGTCATTTTAGTTTTTATTAGTTTTAGTCACGTTCATACTCTTTTTAGTCTAGTCTAGTTTTAGTCGACGAAAACTGATGACATTTAGTCTAGTTTTAGTCAATGATAACTGCAGCCCCCTAATACCAGACTACGACATTACTGCCCTGTTATTAAGAGCTTACACGGAGGGAGAGAAAGAGCGAGAGAGAGACAGAACAAGAAGAGGACAGAAAAGCCTCCAGCTTAACCACCTGTGATCAACAAAAACATCACCACTTTAACCACAAAGCTCTCCTGACAGCGCTGTCAGGCTTGATAAAACACCGCATGTGTGTTTTCAAGACTCCATACCTGAGGAATGCAGTTATAAGAGTCACACGATTGTGAACGTGCGACGTAGAGTCATTCATCTTTTATTTTCACAAAACGGCTCGGTAGGAGAGGTCGTGGACTGTAACCGGTCTGGGGTCACACACTTTAGCCTACGGGCAGCAGACACCTACAACCCAGAGGTGCGAGCGATCTTCCGGACGTTCCTCTGTAATCCGTGAGGACTTTTTGTCAGTAGCACCTGGAACTCGTGCTTTTAATCGCGGAAGAGTGGAGACAGACCCAGCAATTCCCTCAACTTCCTGTCTTAACAATTCTGTCTCTCATACACACACACACTCACATACTTACTGTCTGACCCATAAGACCCAGGGGGGCATAATCTTGAAGCAGGTGCACACTTAAAACCCTCAACGGACTCAACACACACACACACACACACTTCAGCATGTCATTCATGTCACTTTGAGTGTAAAAGAGCAGAACAAGGTACAGTGGTACATCTTATTCCTCACACACACCTAGTGAGCTTCCTCGCTGCCTTCCAAGATAACATCCTAATAGACATAGAAACACATAAGCGGCTGAGGTAGAAGACCTTATATTGGAAGCAACAAAACAGCAATATAGGCTGTTTTGTAAATAAAGTAAATATTGTCATATAATTATATAACATTATTTACATATAAAAAAATATTGTTACATAATGTAAAATATCAGTAAACAAAACAAAACACAAACATTATAAACACTATAAACGTGCATTTTAGTTCCCCTAAGGATTCAGAACAGAACAAGAAAGAAAAATAAATATAAACATAATATAAACATAAATTACAGTGGCATTCATTATAAAAAACATTTATTAAAAATGGCAAGCCTAAACAAAATTGACTTAAACTGAAATTACAGAACTAAACAAATTCAACTTTTAATCAATATTCTCTCACTTCCTTAATTTGTTTAGTACTTACATTTTTGGAAAAACTAAATGTAAGTGCATTGCCAAACAGTGAGATAATTTCAATAACAAATATATTTAAAACAGTTCTTGTTAAAAATAATAATAATTATGTTTACACATAAATGTAATCCAATAACTTCTTGCCTAAACGAAGTATCAAAAAATAATTTTAAAAAGTGCTAAAACATTTAATTAATATTTATTACAATTTGAAATACTGTCTACTGAAAAGGCCTCACAGTTACAGTTGTATTGTTTGAATCACTAAAAAGAACCAGTTCATTTACAGTAGAGTCATTCATTCTGTAATAGGATTACACGTAGCGATTTATGTTTTTGATTCATTATAAAAAAACCAGCTCATTAGAGTCATTCTTTTGTGAATCGGACTGCACTGGTTATACGGTATAGTTTTGA